AATTCTTTTTTTTTAATATCAAAGTTTTCAATATTACTTAATTTTTACGTATTGATTTTTTTTTCCGTAGGTACAACAAGTTCGAGCCTTTCATATTAGCTTCCCAAGCAGATCAAGTTTGCTTCTTTCCATAACCTCGGATTACTACCTCGGGAATAAACTGGTTAGCTGTTATCAAAGTTACACCTCGAGGAAGAATAATCGCTGGAGAAGAACCACAATTACAAGAAGAAAACACCAATGAGATCGAGGAAGCTGAAGCAGAAATTGATGACATCCTACTCATTGATCCGCATAATCGTCAATACGAAGATGTTCCTGATCACTCAACGGACGAAGGTGTAGACGACGAGTTTTTAGAAAATGATGATGTTTCAAGTGATTACGACAATGTATCCGAATGAATTATGTATGTGTTATAAGTTTGTTTAATCATAAAATCAATTTGGATTATATATNACGAAGATGTTCCTGATCACTCAACGGACGAAGGTGTAGACGACGAGTTTTTAGAAAATGATGATGTTTCAAGTGATTACGACAATGTATCCGAATGAATTATGTATGTGTTATAAGTTTGTTTAATCATAAAATCAATTTGGATTATATATGTTTTAATTTTGTTTAATCACAAAATCAATTTGCATTTGGGGTTTGACGTTTATGTGTAGAAGAGGTTAGGAGTTTGGTTGTGGAAGAGGTTATAAGTTAACGAAATTGTAGTTTGGGGTTTGGGGTTTCGAGTTTAGGGATTTATAAAACCTTTCCTCGTAAAGCCCTAGTAATAGAAAACACGGGCATAGCTATTTCCTCGTAAGGCTTTACTAGGGCTTTACGAGGAAAAAAACGCGGGCATAGCTATTTCCTCGTAAAGGGTTTTCCTCGTAAAGCCCTAGTACAGCCATTACGAGGACCTTGCGAGGAAATAAAAACACGGGCATAGCTATTTTCTCGTAAGGTCCTAGTAATGTTACTAGGGCTTTACGAGGAAACAAAATTCTTTATATATACACGAGCAATCCGGTTTCTCATTTGCTAGTAACCTTCTCTCTAAGTCCTCTAAAGGTTCTCTCTAATCCGTAGTTAGGTGATTAGATTAGGGAATTTAGATTAGGTGGTTAGTTTAGGGAATTTAGATTAGGTGGTTAGTTTAGGGAATTTAGATTAGGTGGTTAGTTTAGGTAATTTAGATTATGTTAGTTTACTTTTAG